AGTGAAGAATCATCGCCAGCGCTTAAGTCTGGCAACGTCCCAATCATTGCGCCCATGTTAAGCGAAGATGTGTTGTGTTCTTGAGGTTGATAGTGTCCGGTCGGATGCGCGGCTGAGCGGAAGTCTTGTCGATGCTGTCCTTGGGGGAGAGCGCTGAGCTGAGAGTGAAATGGAGAGCTTGTGTCGGGTTTTGTAAAAGAAAGGTTTCCATCACGCGCAAAGGCAGTCGTAGGATTATCCATGGCTTGAGGCCGCGGGCCAGGTGGTAAGTCGCCCATGTGCTGTTCGTAAACGACCGGAAGAGGCACCCACTGTTGGACCCAAACGAAAGCCATGTTAGTCCATGTTACACTTAGAAAAAGGAATTCTAGGAAAACGAATGTGTAAATGCCCGGTGCCACACCAGCCCGTAAAGGTAGAGCACGACATACCTAGTTCTATATCAACCAGCCTTGGTGAGATGTGGCAATCCGGGGACGCCAGATACCGAGAGCAAGTCGCTTTCTGGGGAAAATTGTAATGGTGATGTGACAGCGAAACAAAGGAGGCTGTGAAGTGCTCGCGTGTAAAAAAAGAAGTCCAAAAGTAGGGGAAACCGTTTCGAGGGAAGATGAACGACTTCGGTTGATGTACCGGCTAGAGAAAGAGCTCGCTTAAGACGGAACGACGACGATGGTCAGAATTACACAACCACTCAGATGACAGAAACGATCTTGTAAGGCTCCGTGAGGTTTGGCGGCGCAACGGCAGGGACCGCAATGAGGGCAAGCGTACATGCGGCAGATATTAGAAGCTAGGATCACAGGGAGGAGCTCACTGGCGGGTCTAATGAGAACGGGAAGACCGCACGAGGGTTTTCGCGGGTTTTCTGCTTCAGTCGCCGCTGGCCGCAGTAACAGTCAGCCTTCTGATTGGCTCTGGAGGGTTCAAGTTGTGGCTGTCAGGATGGGAAGTGGAGCGGCATGGTCTGAACCGACACTCTGGAGGCGAAACGATCACCGTAGCGAAATGAGAGAAAGTCAATTGGATGCCTGAGTCAATGGAAGGTAGAACGTAAGCGTTGAGGAAAGTGGTATTTCATCACATGTGGCGAGTGATGCCGTTTCTAGATTGCCATGGGCCGATGGCGCTGATCATGGACTATCTTACCAAAGCTTAGCGGGTCCCTTGTAGCATGGCTTGGGCGGACAAAAAAAAGTTAGATTCGGCTTGTATAACGGAAGCCCGAGATCTACCAAGGGATGCTGGCGTATCCCTTGTAACGGTGTGTGTTTGTCTGTAATGGTGAAGAAAGTATTCGACCACACAAGTCGCGCTAGCACTTTGTTCCAAACCCGTTCGGTGCTGCCGGGTCATAAGATTCATGCTTTAGTTCAAGATGGTGAAGTAATCCTACACCACCCAGGGCAATGGGTCCGAAATGCACGCAGCTATACTGGCCAATTGACAAAGGCCACCGGGACGGTGATCAGATGCAGGCTGCATGGACTGAGCCGCCCAGAGAAGTCCGGTCGCCTAGAGAGCAGGGAGGAGGCGTGGACGCCGCGTGGACGCGTTAGGGCACCACGATAATGACCAGGCATGGAGCCAGCCCAGGGCGCTGACAAGGGACCCGGCAAAAGCATCGTCAGGGCTGTCAAGCTACGCAAGACCCAAGCAGTCTCGGCGGTGATACTCCCTTGGTAATGCTGCAGTAAGGCGTCAAGACCAGAGCGGAAGAAAGATGGAGCGTACGGGTATACTGTACGCCCTGGAGCCCCGTGAAGGTTTAGCGCCACTGCGACTTGGATGGCGCGAACATGGGCGGCCAAATGTCAGCAAAGCTGGCTTGAAGGCGACAGCAGAACGACATCTGACAAGGTCAGCACTCGGCGGTCCGCTGGGCTGGGTGGCCCGCAACCGTTTCCTCAAACATGAGAACGGGTTATGGGGCTGCCAATAACGGAGATGCGGGACTACTCGACTCCTACAGACGTCTTTGCCACGTTATCGGCGTGACCGCATCTCGACATGTTCAGAGATCTGCGCGCCACAGCACAGCCACCATGCTTGTGCCTGCGCGGTTATGATCGTCACCCGGCGAGCAGCCCGCCGACGCAGCACCTGTCCCGTCTGCAAGGGTGTTTATGGGTTTGTAGAGTATGACGCTGGTGGTGGTGTAAGAATAGACTACCGCAAATCCTGTATTGAAGGGATACGGTCAGGGTCACGGCGAATTGGCCGTACCGCTCCTCACTCTGCGCCAGCTTCGCCGTGTCGCTGCTGTCGCATGCAGCCCGTCGTACTACTATGTGTGCAGGCGTGCATGCATACTTGCTAGAGCTTGAAATGGCATGCGAACACCTTCACAGCCTGGAAACCATACTTGTCCTCTACGCTAATATGCAACTTGGGACATGGAAGACACCCGGCTGGGACTCCACACGGATATTTAAGGTGGCGTTATTTGCATCCGCATCAAGGGTCCAGCGATAAAGTTCCAGTCAAATCAGCTTGCAGTGGCCGATACCCACTCTGACATTGCCGTAGAGCCTCTTCGTGTCCACGGACTCGGCTAGATTCTTGCGGGGTCCTCGATACTCTAAGTGGGCAGGGTCCGTCGCAACTTTTCACCTTGTGGAGATGGAGAGTTCCGGTAGGCCCATGTACTAGCTTTTCCCGACCTATCCGTTCGCAATCATTGCTCCGACTAGCATTGCCATAGTGAGGCAACGGGGGCTGTGGAGGATCTGCTTCCAATTTTCTGCTTCATTTTGCCCAAGCGGGTTCTGCCGGCAAGCAGACTAAAGAATACATGCATGTATACGTACATACGTATGTATGTACATATTATGTACATACATACATGGTCCCTGGCGATCTTTCATCATCCCCACACACCTACCTGTGTCTTGCACTTGGTCGGGCGCGCTTGAAGTCTTGCCGCTGAACGAGAAACCAGGTGTACATCCTCCGTCATACCTGACTGTTAGCACATGCTAGATAGCCGCGGAGAATAGCTGATAGGGCACCAGAAATACAAATCACGGCTGCTAAGCTTCGTTTGTCATTAGGATGCTATGCATACCATCGCGATTTGGATATTGGGGCTGGCTTTAGGGCGACGTAGTCGGCTATGTGTATTCTACTATCTTGCCAATCGGTTTGCATACGCGCAGCCGGCATCGGCACGTTGTTAACTGTGTGAGGCGCTATCTTCAGCTCCAAGAGACAGACAGTCCAAGCTCGGATTCCGAGAAGCCTGGGTAACGCATGGCTTTCGCTTACAGCCTGCTAAAAGCATTCATGCGCATGCGAACGAAGAAACACATACTTACCAGGCGCAATGTGAAATCGCGGATTTCTCCATGGAGGAACGTGAACCAATGGCAGCGGCGCAGTGACACGCCGAACATTTGCCGTCGGCCTTTTGACGACTAGCGCTCGTCCCTGTTGTTGGACCCTACCAAACAATAGAGCGCGGAGCCTACCCGGCATACCTGCCCGTCCCATCCGGCTATTCGATATTCCGACTGCATTCAAGTTCACCGTGCCACGAACTTATTCAAAAACTCCTCGATGTATTGGAAGTAATGAGGCTCCGCAACAGTATCATTATGGCTACCATTTGGCAGTTCTCTCCATATTTTTGGGGCTTTACAAACGTCAAACAATCGCGTCATGTGCGAGGGTCTGTCAAAAAGAGTTAGTTACAGATATTTCGTATGAGATAGACTAAAATCCAAAAAAAACAAGGAGCCGGTGGCTGCTTACGGAATGATTTCGTCCTTGAGACCGCTAAGAAAAAGGACGGGTATCTTTGTAATCTTGGAAATCGTCTCTTCTGTGGGCCATATTTGGTGGCATAGGGGTGCCAGGAAACGAGCAGGAGGAAAGGCGCTGCTTCTGATCAGTGACGTCACCCAATAGGTGGTACGCGACTCACGTTGGTATAAGTTTTCTCATGGAAGTAAAGGTATTTTCCAGGATGATGGCTGCAATGTCGCCTTCTTTTTGGTTCCTAGCAGCTAATCCCACAGCAACAGCGCCGCCAATACTCTGGCCGTAGATTACGATTTTGGTGCCGCGAAGTTCGTGTCTTTGGCGAATGTAGTCGAGTCCAGTCTGTGCATCGATCATGAGCCCCTTTTCATTGGGGTTACCAGAAGATAGGCCATAACCGCGATATTGTAACATCAGCACATTGCATCGCAGCTCGTTCTCCAGTATCTTTGCGATGGGAAGGCGGTAGCCTATATTGCCGGCGTTGCCGTGGAACATAAGGATGGTAACGTTGCGCGCATGTTGCCTGTTGGCTCGAATGAGAAAGGCGCTTAGCGACTCGCCATCCGGTGTAGGAATAAATAACTCTTCAGAGTCGGTGATGCCAAATTGCGAGGGTCTGGGTACGTTTGTGCGAGCATCCGGGGGAAAGTTTCGCGGATATATGATCTCACTATTGTTGTTAGCCATGCGGACAAAATCGATTGCAACCATTGCGTACTTTTGCTTGAAGTAGAGGAGGCCGCTCAGCAGGGCAGCGATTCCAGACGATGCAATGAGCGGAACGCGCAGGTAGCCCATGAATGAATCGAGCGCGGAAGCCATGCTGCTGGGGCGGCCTCCAGTATCTGTGGGGCGTGTTGAGGATGCAATGGCAGGCGCCGAGCGGCTTCTTGAGAACAGGGGTTTTGACGGAGGCGGAGATGAAGTCGTAGGCGAGGAAGAGAAGGGAGGAGAAATAGGAGACTCAACCATCCGGAATGCTGGACATGCGAGTGTACAGGGCGTTCCAACGCGCAAGTGCAGGAGTGAGTTGGAGTGTCGCATAGTGCGGCTGAAGGTTTCAGCCAGTTGCGCAGTGCCAAGACATGGAGCTGCGTAGCTCGGGCTGCCTGGTACACAGCGAGCTGCTCCGACAGCAACCACACGTCTTGCCCGCCACTCACCCTTCTACACGCTCTGTATACGACCAGTTCTTGTCCGTTGACCCTTGCAAGTCTCTGCCACTCCGAATTGCGATGATGATGACCACCGGCGCGCTGTCAGAAGGTATAGACCCCGCTGCACATGCTCAAGCTACAATGGAAGCTCACTCTTGCGCAGATGGCATTCATGTCGACATGAACCACCTCAAGAAGGGCGAGGTCAAGTAGGTCATTGCATCCCTTGGATATGCTTCCAGATTGCTAATTATAAGGGCAGCCTCGGAACATCTATGTATGTCGCTCTCCACTACCAATCGCGCCGTCTCTCACATCATGCAGCATGGCCATCAACTTCAAAGACGGTGTCATATTAGCCGCCGACAGTAGGACGACGACCGGAGCATACATCGCAAACCGAGTCACGGACAAACTCACACAAGTCCACGACACCATCTGGTGCTGCAGATCCGGTTCGGCAGCCGATACACAGGCGGTGGCCGACATTGTCCAATACCACCTGGGCATGTACGGCACCACCAACGACGAGCCCCCGACTACACAGACGGCAGCAGCGCTGTTCCAAGAACTTTGCTACTCCAACAAGGACCAACTTTCGTAAGTGCAACAAACGCTCAGGAAGAGCAGGCGCTGACTGTGCCGCAGTGCCGGACTGATCATTGCCGGATGGGACCACCGCCACGGCGGCCAAGTCTATTCGATCCCCCTGGGAGGCTCCCTTCACAAGCAATCATATGCGATTGGCGGTTCAGGATCAACATACATCTACGGTTACTGCGACGCAAACTGGAGGGAGAACATGAGTGAGGAGGAAGGTATCAAGTTCGTCAAGGGGGCACTCGCAGAGGCAATCAAGTGGGACGGCAGCTCTGGAGGTGTCATCCGCATGGTTGTACTCACGGGCAAGGGCGCACAGAGGCATTTGTACCTCCCCGACCAGAACTACGAGGGCCCAGGCAGGCAGTAGAGTCGGGAGTGTGAATGCTGGCTGATGGATAGACAAGCATGTATGATATGACACGACCCGACCCGACGACGATGTCGGAACGAGCTACATGAAACAAAAAAGGACGCAGATAGCAAAAGTGAAGTGACTATGAGATCAGCAGACGTGAAGTATGTAGCAATGTTTGGTTAGACAAGCAGACACGAGACTGCCGGGGAGGAGTAGACGTGGGAGCGAGGCGCAGCAAGCAGGCCAATGAGGTGGCGGGATTTGGCCATGGATTGCAGCGCTCCTATTTGCTCCGACTACTCAGAGGAAGAGACGTGTGGACGTGTGCCCAAGGATGCAGGCCGAGCACGCGCGGGGCATGGCTGCGAAGTCGCAGAGCAGACGAGGCGGGCTGGTGCTGGTGAGGTGTTTTTCCCCGTAGCCCCAGTGTAGGCGATAGGGCTCGTGGTGTCTGTGTGTCGTGTATGGAGATGCACAGTGTCGTCACATGGGCTTCGGAAGGTGGTGAATTGCAGCCAGGGTCTCCCTCCTCCTGCGAGCCACTCGTTGGTCTGTGACGTCCCGTTCGTTCCCCACGCCTTTCTCGAACAACACTTCGTCGCCCAACACGCCAGGTCTGTATCCTGTGCTCCATCCTCTTCTGCCTCTGCCCCCAACCCGGCGCGTGGCATCCAATTCCCCTCGAGTACGGCAGTCAGAGCAGGCTCGCATGCCCTATTCGCGCCCCCTGAAGCTGCGTCCAAGTTCGGGCTCTTTGCGATAAGGCTCAACAACATTGCACCACCGACACCGCCTTGCCAGCACCCTCTGTCTCCCGGCCCTCCCGTTCTGCCATCACAAACACAGTCGCTGTGTCGCATCCCCTCGCATCTCCCCGCCCCCTCAAAGAGTGGTAACTTGGATCGCCCTGCGAACGCGGCATGGGATCGCTTCTGGTGAGCGATTTCGGTGGGAACCACTTTCACACCAACATGTTTGGCGGCGCCAGCTCGCATCAGCAAACACCGGAATCTTCTACCGCCCAGCACACGCCCGTACGGCCCTCACCTTCACCCAGCGCAAATGCGCCGCGTGTAGGTGCTCCGTCTGCTGATGTTCCCATGGCCGATTCGGGAGCCCCGCAGTCGAGCTCGACACCAAGCCAGCGATCGCAGCAGCACAACAGCTCCCACCTGAGTGCCAGCACAGACTCCGCACCGTCAGCAGCCCAGGCCCCGGCCAGCCCCTGCTTCCGTCCGCACTCACAGCAACCCACGCCCTCTGGCTCAAACCCCGCCTCGGGCGCCTTCACAAACACAAGAACCATACCTTCAACAGGTCCAGCTCCCGTCCAGCCCTCACCGGCCCAGTCTCTGCGCTCGCCTGCACCATCGCCGAACCGCATCAAGGTCAAGAGCCTCTCCCATATTCAAAGCTTCGCTCTAGACGACTCCAGTCCCTTCTCCCAGTCGCGGTCGCTGGCGCGGCGGCACCGACGAGACCCGGCAGATGTCGGCCCTCAGTACGAGATTAGTGAGATGCCCGTCTCCGACATTATCGAAATGGTGGCGGGCTTGTTGACTAAAATCACAACAACAAACGATCGCCAACACGACCACCTGCATCGTCAAATCCCACCCCCAGAAGGCACATCAGGGCTCAGCCAGCAAACCACCAGCGTTCTTGCCTTCCATGGAAAGAACGTGCCCAGTATCTCCATCCTCAGCTACCTTAGCAGAATCCATAAATACTGCCCCACCACCTACGAAGTCTTTCTAAGTTTGCTTGTCTACTTTGACAGAATGACCGAGAGGGTAAATGCCGGCCCAATGTCTGGTCTTCGCAAGGCTAACCAACAGTCTGTGGAACGTTCGAGATCTGCCCTATCAGCAACTCCAACCAGTACAGATGGTGTACAATCTGAATCTGCTTCGGCTCAAGCCGCCACGCCTCCGCCTTCAGGATCTCTGGGCAAGGTAGCCGGTACTCCAGCTGAAGGTCATCAGCCACCCTCTCCTCCCCAGCAAGATTTGCACGCGGATACTGCGTTAAACCTCTCACATTTCTTTGTGGTTGACAGTTTCAACATTCATCGTCTTGTCATTGCTGGCGTGACGTGTGCAAGCAAGTTCTTCTCTGACGTGTTCTACACAAACTCAAGATATGCAAAGGTGTGTATATGTAAACGCATATGATTGGATTTTTGGCTAACATGACAAAGGTTGGTGGTCTGCCATTGGTTGAATTGAATCACCTGGAGCTGCAATTTCTGCTCTTGAACGACTTCCGCCTTGCTGTTCCCTTGGAGGAGATGGAGGCCTATGGAACTATGCTTGTGGAGTTTTATGCACGTGAAGTGGCCGAGCAACACGAGAAAGAGCAAAGTGCCAAACATCAATAGTGCAATCGATTTGAAAAAGATATTCTTCATGGCCGAATCAACTATTAGAGAAGTAAATATGGTAGGGAGGAGGAGGGTGGGCATAACAGAACCCCCGCCAAATGAGTGGTCAGGACACTGCACGCCCAACTAGAAAAGCGCCAGACGACACCAGTCTTGTGCGTCAGACATGCAGTCGACCAATTGTGCGCGTTGCGACAACTTTTCGACAACCAGGATCTTTGCATCCTAGTATAATTTGAGTGGAGACGGGCAACCCCAAGTCTCAGTATTCGACTGACATCTTTTTGAGCCAGTTTGCAGGCGGATGTATCTTGTTAGATGTGCTTAGATTTTGGGATACCAATTGTTTCTTCGTTCAAGAGAATATCATGAAATCATAGCAGACGTTCGTTTCCTTGAGAATGTGCTATCCTGGTTTCTCTGCTTGGATACCTGTTGATTTAATATCGGGGAGGTGCAATTGGAGGGAGCTGGTTGTTTTATATCATTAAATTATTAACACAAAAAAGCATTGATGCAAAAAGCTTTGTTGCAGCACGATGCTGGCAAACTTGCCCCATTTCCCACTGTGCGGGAAAACCTCCCCTGCTAGAAAGTGAGGCTGACCGCCGTTGTTGTCCCACGTCACGTCACCACCCAAAGAATGATGCAACAAATGAGGGGCACTCGGTGTACACCGTGTCTACGCATGGAGCATCAACATACGCATACGCGACGCAAACAAGCGGCCCCTCCCCTCCCCCCCTTCTTCCTCTATCCTAGACTTTCTCCACTCCAACACCCCACCTCTCTGAATCCCCGCTTGTCACGCAATCACAATTATCAGATCAGGAACTTAAGCAAGACCAGGCGAGGTGGGTGAAGCTGGACCCAGAAAAAACCCCTAAAAGAAAGGAAAAAGGAAAAAGGGGGTCCATTAACGCCGCTTTCCCCCCCCCTAGTCTCTCTCTCTCTCTTCCCGCCCCTTGGGCCTTGGACCTTGGACCCCTAAACAAACCGCCCGCTCCCCCGCCTAACTTTACTATACCAGATCCCTCGTCGTCGTCATATCCGGACCGTCTTTCCGCCCGTTTTTTTTCCTCCTTCAACCTACCTTCTTATACCTCGTATTGCATGTGCTTACACCTGGTAACACTACTTTTAATTCCCCCGGACGCGATGTTACTAGTTTACATAATCCATGCCACCTTTTTCGCCCAAATCTCACGCGCACTTTCTAACTCATACATGTGTGTTTTATGAATTTAGTCGATTGGAGAGAAAGAGGAAGAGAGGACAACGCTACACCGCTCAACGATACCACTAGAACGCAGCGCACGCAGCTTGGCCACAGCGCGACCACGCCAATTGAGCATCCGCGGGCTTTTTTGAACCCCACTTTTATTATTTGTTTTTTTAATACTACGCATAACTACTCCTTTTGATATGTAGTAAAGTTAGCTGTTGTGCTCTTGTGGAGCTCTCTCGACCCCCTTCCTGGCGGTGGGGAGATCGCAGGTCGAGTTCTGTTTCGGGATTGGGATTTGGTGGGTTTAAGATGAAAGGAGTGAGGTTGAGGCGATAAACTGATAAGGAAATGTACAAAGGGGGCGGTTTGGGTAGGATTTGTTTTGGTTGTGGGGTTGGTTTTGATATCAAGGTGCTTTGGTTTCAGGGGTAAATTTGATGGTTCTCGGTGTTCTGCGTTCCATGCATGTTTGGTGTTTTAGTGGGGACACACCTTCTTTCTTGGATCGCGTCTTGTGTTAATCTATCTGTCGGCGTTGGAAACCTTGTCCTTGTCCTCTTTCATCATTCCCCGTCCTTCTGTCTCTCTTTCTTTCTTCCCTTCTTGGGTAGTTGGCTGGATTTTTTTCGTTTTTTGACGTTCTTGCTCTCTTGTTTTTTTTCGGTGGAAGAACAAGGATTGACGACGATAACGAGCAAAAAGTATCAACACCGTCTTTTGCTTTCTTCTTCGTCTTCACCCCATTCGGTCCTTTTGGGGTAGGGAAATCGCTCGTTGTGTCTGTACTTGACGTGTGCTCAGTTTCGAGATCTGATTACTGTGAAGCGTTGAAGCGGCATTTTGAACTCTGGTGGCAATCTGTTGTTTTTGTGTTGCTCACTTTCGTCTTACTACCTCGTCTCCCACCCGCTGCGATATGCGCTCCCCAACTTCACCTTCACCGCCATTGCAGCAATCGCAGTTATCGCTTTCTTCAATCGCTCAATACGTATTTCTGGCCGGTTTAGCATATGTCCTCGCGGGAGCTCCTTTATCGTCCTTGATTAATTCCTCGTCATCTGATTCAGAAAGCTATAATGTCAATGGCAAAGCAAGAGAAGGAAAGGTTGTAGATGTGAGAACATTGGAGAGCCTCGTCATCCCGGAAACCAATCTGTCATGTGCAGAACACCGTTACAAGGGAGTTTACGTGCTGAGCCGAGATCCCCTGGTAATATACATTGAAGGGTTCTTGGGAGAAGGAGAGGGAAAAGAGGTTGTTGATTTGAGGTAAGTGACCCAACTTCATTTTCCTTTGCATCTGAAGCAGGGTGTGACCAAACCTTCGAGTTATTGCCTCCATACATAGCAATGCATCAGCCAGCATAAAAAATGTTGATAAACAAATGAGCCTTGCATAGA